TAAACATTTCATGAAACAGTTATCTTTTCACATTGTTTATTTTTTTCTTTAGCAGTGGACATTTGTCATTCTTTTGGCCATGAAAACTGAGCTACAGCACCAGCCTTCTCCCCCCCCCCACCAAGGGTATCTTATTAAGTCACTAGGTTGCCCAGGTTGGGCTCAAATTTGCATTCCTGCTGCCTCAGGCCCTAGCATACTGGAATTATATGTGTGCACCACCAACCCAGCTCCTAGTACACACACACATGGAGAATTCCTTTTTGTATTACAGAAAATATCTTCCCCTCAGAAGCTTGTGTAGGCAGTAGCAGCAGTAGCGTCTCACAGGATCAGTCTGCAGAGTGATTCTGAGATAATTCTAACCAAATGGCTTCTACATCATGTCTGTTCACTGTATCAGATTTAGGAGGCAGCCAATGTGGTAGACACATTCCAAGGTGATCTCCATTGGTCATGTCGTTGTACAATCAATCCCCTCTTCTCAAGTTTGGGTGGAAGATATGTGTTGCTTCTAACCAAAGGAGTATGGCAGAAATGATGGATGTCACTCCATTGATTACATCATATGTGTATATATATATATGTATATATATAATCTACTCATTATCTTAGACTCTGTCTTATTCAGTTGGAGCAAAAAAGACTGAAAAGAACATTGCCATGTCCAGGAGATTATCTGGCAAAGGCAGATTCTAAGAGCTAAGAGTGCCACAAGGAGATAAATCTTGAAAGCAGCATTTACTGCTCAATGAGACTTTAGTCCTGACCAACATCTGATGAGACTCCCAGACACAGGACCAAATTGAGCCACATATGGACTGCTGAGGAAGCAAATAAAGGAACATACATGTTGTATTAAGTTGCTAAGCTGAAACGTGTTATACAGCAATAGAAAATGAAAATGATACCCTCTACTAAATTCATCTGGTGCTTAAACACTATTTCATAACTTGCTACCAACTGCCTTGAGTAATATACAATCTATCTAAATTTTACCTTTCTTCCAAATTCCACAAACCACTATTCCACAGGAACTAGATCCGTCTACACCCATCTTCTTCCTATCATAGGAAAGTGGCATTTCCAGCAATCACAATCTTGCCAGCAATACACTACACTCTCTGTTGCAGCAAAGAATAGAGTGGGAGTTTTCCTCTCTTTGAGGTGCTAAACCAAACTCATTACAGCAAATTGTGCACCACACTTGAGCAGTCAAATTTGTTTCTGTATTTCACATTGAAAAGGATTTATATGAGCTCCCATAGATATACACTTAGGGAAAGTGACAGTAAAAATATATTAACCTAACAAAGAGCACCTGGTATTGCTTATTCAAAAAACTAAAAGTTAATCTTCAAAGAATATATATGAGCCTACATAAGATTACATATTTGCATTTTCTGTGAAATTGCAATGCTTTCTTCTGCATTCTGGATAATACATTCCTCTTATCAATAACAAGACAATACCAGAATGCTATTACCTTGATTGAAAACTCCTGTTGAGGTTGACAGAGAGATTTCATGGATCCATTTTCACTTTGTGAAGTCTATTAATAGAGTTCTAAAGTTTACGAGGACAGCAATGACTAGGTTATGCCATTAAACTTTCATTCACTTTGATGGTAAGCCATAGAATCAGAGTAATAAAAGAAGATGTCTTAATACATACAACATAATCCTTGACCAAAACTGCCTGGTTCTGGAGTGGACAATCCATTACTGTCCTCTGTTAAATCTTCCCCAAAATTGGGTTCTGATCTCTCTCACTGGTGACACTGACCATACTCAAGTTTGACAAATGGGCTGATCAAAATCAAGGGCTGCTTTGATCAGTAAAGGAGCAGTATGTGGCTTACAAGGTGACCCCAGTGGATGAAGGGCAATGTGTAGACTATGAACTGACTGCCAAGGTAGATACCCCGCAGAAAGGTGTGTTTGTCTGTCGTAGCACCAAGTAGTAGTAACAGTTCTCCCCCAATCGGCAAGAGCCCATATCCTTAGGACTGTACTGACTGGTTTAAAATCCAGTCTGCACATATATAAGCATGAACACTTTGAAAAATCTAGAAATAGGAAAATGTACAAAATCTTCATAAGAAGTCACTGGAGTAGCTTGTTGTCATGATTAGGAAACAAAAAATATATGTTATTCTCAGTTTTCCACAGACTTCCCTAAATCTTGGGTCTACAGTGCACTGCTGTCTCCTTCCTAAAATGAGAACAATATATCATCTGATTTCTCAAATGTTAGGAGGAATTATCAAGAAATATAAGTTATAATAACAAGCTGGAAAACAGTTGTGCATGTCGGGCAATAAAAATTAAGTATGATGCCTTTATTGAAAGAAAAGGGATTCAAGCAATAAAATTCCTTACCAACTTAAACATTAATATACATTTTAAAACAAAAAAAATCAATTGAAGTAAAAATAAAAAACCACATTTGGATGCAATAACAAAAAAATGTCCATAAGTACAATATTTCACTAATGAGAAGGTACAGATGCTACATACAGAAGGATTTTATGATGTCCATATGTTTCTCAAATGACTCTCCTTGTTAGCTATTTCTCCAAATCTCTATTTAAGAATAACCTATACCTTCCTACTGAGAGAGTGTAAATGATAACACACTGTAATATTTCAACAAATTAAACTTATTGCAATAGAAAGAAACAAAAACTATAAAACTCAAAACACCACTAGACATAGATACTAATAAAAATATGAATTACAGAAATTATTTAAACTAAAAAAATTTACATGGTAGTTAGCCTTCAGATGTGTAACCCCAAATAGAAATTAATCTATAGTCCAAATATATATACCTATAATTATCTATGTTATCAGTATCTTCATTAAGCAACTATTTATGCTATTTAATGGGCACAGTCAGTCTGATCACAACTATCACAAAAATCTATAACCATATAGCAAATTACCCTTAATTTTAGAGGAGTTATTACTATTTTTCTAGAAGATGGAAGCTCGTTATGCCCTCTAGCCAGTGTTGTCTGCCTTTTCAATAGAGGCCAACATGCTAGGCCGAATCACAGAGAAAGAAGAGCAGCAAAACTGAAAAAAAAAAATCTATCTCCTATCTATAAACTGGTACTTAATTTAAAACTCTTAACTTCTTTCTACACAATCTTCCATAAATCTAATCATGTCTGTTCTGTGGTGAAGATTAGTGGTTCAGGAGCAAAGCCGGGAAAGCAGGTCTCCCTCTAGCTGGCAACCTATCAAAGGTCAGACTCGGAATTCCCACTGCACAAGCACCTGTTTGGTGGCTGAAACACATAGGAAAACATTAGCTTTTTCCCACACAGAAAAATGATACATTCCCCCAAAATGCTGCCTATTTAGAGATCTACCCCATTGAAATAAAATACATGAGAATAAATTACACATAAATGTTACAACTGACTAAATTATTTGGCCTTTTGGAATTACAATATTAAGTTTTTTAATATGAGTGGCTTGCAGAAGATCCATCAATGATTTGCTGTTTTGGTAATTAAGTTGGTCCAAATTGGGAATGTGGTTTGAAAGGATAAGAAAAGCCAATTAATTAGCTGTGGTAAAAGGCAAATATATTAAACAAAAAATTTCAGTCATAGTAATTTCCATAATAAACATCCAAAGCACCAAAAACTAGTTCAAGAGGTATCTTTCTCCAAACATGATTTTTCAATTGTCCTGATTTATTAACTATAACATATTCTGTGCTATTACTGATTACAGGATTCTGGGGCATCAGAAAATAACGTCCAGACTTTTCAAGTGGAGAAAGATTTTTAAGTTTTGTTACCAAAGATTTCAAATTGTACTTTTAAGTTCTCTATATATCTATGTGCTCTTCTTTCATAGATTTCAGTAATGCCTGCAAGATTTGAGAACATGACTATGCTCCAAATAGTTGTAATTCCTCAATCTTACTCATTATGAGACATCTTAGCACACCAAGAGCATTCATCTACTGCTATAAACGTTATTTTTACCATTTGAAGAGGAAAAATGTTAACTCTTCACTCCATTTTCTGGAAAAAGTGAAACTTTTTCATCCATTATTACCGCACCTTCATCTTTTACACACACACACACACAGTTCACATGTCATGGGATATACTGTATGCATACACATATATCCCATTTCTCACAGATTGTAAACTGCTACAGTAAACCTAGAAGTTCCCTTTAGGAAATTACACGCACCTCATAACAGGGAAAACAAACAGGACGGCTCTGCCTGAAATCAGGGCCCAGGAGACTCACTGGAGAATCTTCCAAGCGCACATCCCAGGGGCCGCACCCTCCGCTCCGCCTCGGCCCCCTCTCCTGACCGCTGCGCCCCTGGCTCCGGAGGGCAGCGTGTGCAGACACACAGGCCTGTGACAGCGAGCAGGCAGGCGACTGCTTCAGAAGCAACGCGACGCTGCCGGCGGGGCCCAGGGAACGCCCCCCGCCCTCCGCCCCCTGCGGTCCCGCCGTGACACCCTCGGCGGCGCTAACCGGTGCACCGTCACGCATGCATCGCTCTCCGTACGGCAGTCCAGGAACTGCCCCATCTCCCGTCCTGCAGCTCCTGAACTTTTCTTAAAACCCAGTATTCCGCTGTAGAGACGTGGAAGTGCGGTCCCCACCAGCCGTCCAAGGTACCCCCACTAAGTATCGCTCCCCTCAGCTGAGCAACACGTTGGTGGTACAAACTTTTCCTTCACACCTCAGATGCAACGCGAACGGGGTGGAGGTCTAGGGGCGAGGGGGGCCGCGCCACGGACCCCGGCCTCGGCTCGCCCAAGCCAAATGTCAGCGCCTTCACCCGGCTCACCCGGCTCCCAGCCCGACCCGGATCCCTCGGCCACCCATCTCGGGGTGGGGAGACGCGGGCCCAGTCAGAGGAGATGCCGCTAACCCGGGAACCCGAGCAGGGAGCACCCCAGTTCCCAGGGCTTTTCCCGAGCAGGAGCCCGGCCGCGCCGCGCCGCCACTCACCTCCGCGCGCTCCCAACGAGGCTGTCGCGCCCCCCGCGCCCCGCGCCAGCGACCCCCTAACTTCGCCCCCTTCTCCAAACAGCCATCTTCCGAGCGGAGCAGAGAGGAGAAAGGCGAGGCAGGAAGCAAGCGTGGGGATTAAAGTTGACTCGGGGACCGCGGCCGCTCCTCAGCCGGGGATCCCGCCGCGGCGGGCGCCGGGGGACGGGGCGAGGGCGCGGGCCGGCTCGGGGCGCGCGGCGCGGGGTGCGGGGCGCGGGGTGCGGGAAGCGGCGGCGCCGCGCGCGGGGGGAGCTCGGAGGGCGGCCGCGGGCGGCTGCGAGCTGAGCGGGTGGCGGCGCGCGGAGGATTTGCTAAAAATAGCGCTTCTTGGGGAGGGGAGTGGGGGACGGAGGTGGGAGGGAGCCGGAGAGGCCGGGCCGAGAGCCCCGGCGCCGCGGAGGCTGGGCGGGGCCGCGCGCGGAAGGGAGGCCGGGGCCGCGGGGCGGCGCGGCGGCGCTGGGACCCGCAGGGCCGAGGCGCGGCGGGGCGGCGGCTCCGGGGCCACCTGGGCGGCGCGCGGGGGCGGCCGCGGGGTGGCGAGGCCGAGGGCGAGGGCTGGGCCAGGGAATCTCAGGAAAGGACCCGGCAGCCCGGCAGGACTCGGGCGCTCTGCAGCGGGGCGGCCCGCGCAGACGCCAGGTGACGGCCGGTGACCGGCGCGCACGCTCCTCCGCCCGGCCCGGACAGCCTGCGGCGGGACCGAGCCGGGTCAGGGAGGCGCCCGGCCGCGCCTCGCCCACCGCGCCGCCGGCCGCTCGGCCCCGCGCTCAGGTGCGCCCGCCTGCTGCCCGCGCTGCCCGGCGCCGCCGGGAGGAAGAGAAGGGGGGCGCGTTCGGGGCGTTACCTGGGACGGCCCGCTTCTGCCTGAAGCTTTGGGGATCGTTCGAGACAATTGTAAAAGAAAATGCTACAGTTAAGATGTTGTTTTGTTTTTCAAGGACCAAAGGGGAAACCGGGGAAATAGTGATGGTTGATGGAACTGTCACTTAGGGTTGCCGCGTTTTGAGGCTGAACCGAGAGGACCATCGCTCTGAAACCAAGGCTAGCAGAAAGGAAGCGGGTAGTGGGTTGGATAACTGAGTAGGGCTCCTCTTAAGTGTTTTTGTTGGGTTTTTATTATTATTCCTTCTATAACTTGTCTATGTTAGGATTACTGATACCTTTGTAAGGCTTACCATAAACTGTAATTCTAAACATACTTGTCTAGTGCTAGCAAATGCTCGAAGAGGCTAGTTTGATGATATGTCTAAACTCTGACCCTCACACCCACAGGAGCTAGTGTCTCTACCTATACATTTATGGTTTTCCTGTGTGTCAGCTAAACCCAGCCAGCCTGAAGAGCAGAGAGACAGAAAAAAACAAGAGAGACCTAATCCAGTGCCCTCCTTTTCAAGGAGGGAACTGGGACCCACAGGATGATTTGTCCAAGGTCTCACAAGGGCAGGGTTCACATTATAGCCAGACTACCAGTGACATAAGATCAGGTAACCTGGAGAAAAGAAGAGCCTCCTGCTATCTGTAATTGAATCAGAATTCAGCATTTACCTCAGGGTGAAAGGCTGTGATGGCTAGGTGTGGCCCTTACTTTGCCCCAATCAGGAAGTCACATTCCACTAGCTTTGAGTAAAAAGGGCCACACTCCTAAATCTGATGCTAGAGCTGCAGCTAGCTTAACTTTCTATCCACGTCAGGGATCCTGTTAATTAGCATGATGAATCTTAATAATGGGCTGTGAGTGATGAAATTGATGGTATTGATTAAAGTATTTTAGAGCTACTTCTCATTGGGATACGAGCCAGGTATAAATATTTAGTAACTTTACCGCCTTTGATCTTCAAAATAGAGTCCTCTCAGAAGTAGTCAAGTGTCCTGCTTTGTTAATGTTTCTTCTGAGGTCAGAAGATGGCTCCATGAACTGTAACAGAAACAATTCTCCCTCTGTCATCTCCAGAGAAATACTTTCATGACAAGTGTGATTGAGACACACAGTTCCTGAAGTTTCAATGCTCATCTGAAATGTTTATGTAGTAAAATATGCATGCCAGAATTTGAACCGGTTTGCTTTTTCCTTTTATAACGATGGTACAGGAAGCAGTGAATCTTCACATAATTATTTATGCCTACCACATCTAGGGGATTTCATAAGACAGAGCTGCCTTCCTCAGCATTCCCTTACATATTTGAATGTGGACTCTGAGCAAAGTACTTGCTAGCCACTACTGGAGATTGAACTATTTTAAAGTATGATTTAGAAGAAAAAGATACAATTTTTCCGGAAAGTCCTGTTGGGGTTCTTGTGCTCTTGTTCAGACCTCTTTATATTATAACGTATACTACATTGCACTATTTTTTTCTGATTTAATTCTTCCTTCATTTGAGCTCTAGGAAGACAAGGATAACTCACATTTTTTTGTAGTTTTGTAAAAGTAGATGTTTTAGTAGAGCTTTATAGGGTAATTAAGACAATAGTACGGGTAACGCATCCCTAATCTGAAATCTGAAATGCCTTCAGCATGATGCAGAAATGGAAAAATTCCATACCTGACCTCATGTGACAGGCTGCAGTCAAAACTGAAACACTAAAAATATTATACAGAGCTATCTTTAGATTCTGTGTTTAAGGTATACGTAAAGCAAAAGAATTTCATGTTTAGATTTCAGTCCCATCTTTGAAAAATCTCACTATGTATATGCAAATCTGAGAAGGAAAAAGAAACCACTTCTGGTCCCCACCATTTGGATAAGTAGTACACAAATTATACAGAGAATTCCAGTATATCCTCTCAAATGCATTCACCCAATTTCTCCTGTTATTAACATTTTTGTTGGTATAATGCACTTTTTATAATTAGTGACTTGATATATATTATTATTAACTGAGGTCTATAGTTATAATCTTTCTTTAGTTTTAAATAATGAATCCCATATTTCTGTATCAGGATCCCAAATACTAACATAGTTGATGGTCTTGTCTCCTTAGATTCTCTTGGCTGTAAATTTCTCAGATTTTCTTTGTTTTTGATGATAGTTTTGAGGTATTCTGGTCATGTATGTTGTAAGATGCCTCTCTGTTGGGATCCACCTGATGTTTTTTATCATAATGAGTCTAGAATTGTGGGTTTTTGGAAGAAAAAATATAGTGATAAAGCACCATTTGCATCACATTATATCAAGCAATCATAACTAGCAACATGATGTATTACCTGCTTGACCTTGATTATTTGGCTGAAATAATGTTTATCAACCTTCTCCACTATAAAGTTACATTTTTCTCCCCCTTTACATTATGTACTCATTTGGAAGTCACTGTGTGTAGCCCATACACAAGAAGTGAAAATGCATGGCCCATTCTTTTAAGGTAGATATCTACAAATTTATTTGGAATTGTTATGTACTCATTCATTTTTATCTCCAGAAGTCAGCACAATGCCTTCCACATCATATGGCCTTAATGCATATGGAATGCAAGAATAGGATTAAATAAAAATTTTCCATAAGAAATCTGATAAGGTCTAGATATCAGCAGTGACAAAATAGAACTTTCCAACATTTAATCCTCTACAGAAACATCAACTTGAGTAACTATCTATGCACAAAAATACCTTCCTAGAAACAAAAACCAGAGAGAGATATAGCATAAATTAAAAAAAAAAAAACATTGAAAAGACACAAAGAAAGCAGTCCTTTGCTTGGGAAAGGAAAGATAAGTGAATATCAGATTAGCCTCAGACCTCAACTCCAGGCTCATCTAGTAAAATCCAATGGTGTGCAGGCTTGCATGGCCCCAGGCACCAGGCTTCAGATGGTGCCTCTAGGCCAGACTCTTCCTCAGCCCCAAGTTCTAGACAAGCCATGTCAGCCACCGGCTCTGGCTGCTAGAAGCACTGAGCTGACCCCCAGAGCCCCAGGCTTCAGACCTGCCTCATCACCAGGCCATCCCCCAGGGGTTTAGTCATCAGCCTGGCACCACAGGCCCAGCCTCTGGACTGACCATTGAGAAAACAGAATCTTTGTCCATTTCAGGGTCCAGCCAAGAACCTGCTCAACCTGTATAACCCCAGCTTTCAGGGCTATGTCAGCATCCTCGACCTCAGGCATTATCCTGCAACCTCAGCCACAGATTCCAGGCCCACTCAGTGCCAAGCCAAGCCCTGCAGCACCACTCTCCAGGCAGCCCACGGTTCCCCCATACTCCAGTAGACCCATTGTCTATCAGTCCTAAGGTCCAGGCTTCCACCTATAGTCCCCACAGTGCCAGGCTCTAAGATCATCCTTGGGGACCTAGACTCTAGATCTGTCCCCATATCCCTAGGTTTCAGGGATGAACCTGTCACTTGACCAAGTTACAACCTGTGAGCCTAGGCTCCAGACTGACCTCTTGGTCTCAGACTATCCTCTAGGCTACTCCCTACAGCCACAGGCTCAAACAGACCCTTCAAACAGTGAAAATTGCAAAGTTTGTAAAGAAAAACCCAATAGCAAAAGAAACAGAATTGATCAAGTGTAAGAAAGAACCTGTGAACTGGAAGACAGGTTATTTAAATGTTATATTCATGTAATCCTCCACAGGGTTACCTTCCATGATCCCTAATGGATGCCTGAAACCACAGTACCAACTCTAGAGATATTGTGTTAAAAAAAAAAAAAAAACATACATGCTTACAATAAAGTTTAATTCATAAATTAGGTACACTAAGGTCAACACTAATAATAAGAATGGTTGCATTAAGAACTAGAATAAAGAAAAAAAAAAGAACTAGAATAAAGGTGATGGGAAGATAGTTTGCTTCTTTTAAAATATTTTACTGTATTCACTCTTCTGAGGCTTTGAAATGATACTGTAACTATGTGGTGACATGAAGTGGTTGATCTAAGTTTTTAATACAGTTTTAGACTACTACGTTAGGCTCCTGTGCTGTGTTGGTACTGCAGTGCTGTGGAAGTCCATCTTATGCCTGGGATAGCCATGAAGTGACTGATGAGTGGATATATACAGTATGACTACTCCAGAAAAAGGAATGATTCTTGTCCCAAGAGTAATAGTTGGGATGGTGTGTGAGTTCCTCATGCTACAAATGAAAGATGTACATATTAAAACTGTTGAATTGTTTGTTT